TGTTGGATGTTTTCAAATATTTATGATGCGGTGGAGCTTAAATCCTTAGTTTTCCACCGGTCCGAATTGCAGAGAAAGTTGCTGGCAAAAGTCATTCTCTCCTAATGACTTTTAATGGGCGTAAGTCTGATGCCAGATGCAGGATTCAATGAAGACAGACGGTCAAGGGGTTCTAACCCAGTTTCAAGGATCCTCAGTCAAATAACCTTGCTTTTGTTTATAAAATCAAAAAAGGTTTATTAGGCCTCTAGATGTTGAATTGGTAGCACAATCCTTAAGTGTCTCTGCCTGATAAGGAGCAAAGAGACACAAGTCAAAATCAAGTTCAAATAGTAAAAAACACTCGCGCTTCTCAAGTCTAAACTGCGTCTTGAATACATACAATTTTCTCAAGTCAAAAGTGCATCTTGAATACATATCAGAGGCCCAAAGCAAATGAAATATGCATTGCCGCCAGTATTGCCCAGATGGCTTTGAATAGCTAAAAACCAAGCTGCAAATTGAGTAGTTGAATGCAGCTTGAGTTAAGTCGAACACTTTTCAAGAATGCAAACACTTTGCGAGTTGAGTATCAAATTGAAAGGTGGCCAGACTTTTTTGAGGTAGTTCCTCTTGAGAATGGGTGAACCCAGAATGAAAAATGTTTAGCCCTTTCCAAGTATCTTCCTTGCCCTGTGGCTTACTTATCTCAGCGGGATCTGCGAGACTAGTTGAGAATTCATTTCAAAACCAAAACGGGACTTTTCTTTGCAAAGTTGGAAACAGGAATATTTCCCTTTTTCTATTCAAGTTCAAAGATCAGAGGGCACGGCACCCTTCTGGCAAGTCAGCCAGGATGCGTTGCATTCTTCTTTCCGTGATGGGGTGCAAGATAGCAGATCTCAGAGTATGACTCAGCTGCATTTCTCAACCCCAAAATTCGTTTTCTGAGAACCATTGACCTGCGTACTTTTGGCGTACGCGTAATTTCCTTCACCAGCAAATATTTTCATCATGAAACAAAAGTCCGTTTTCAACTAGATAAATTCGGAACAATATTTACTAACAAATAACTATTCGAGAATGCGATTCGTAATAGTAAAATCGCATTTCTCTGCAGGGAAACTTGTGGAGAGCTCTGAGGACTCTCAAGAATGGTTTTTGAATAGTAAATTGAGTCAGGCTTTTGCCAAACTCTTACAATTATTTATTATCATTATTATTTATTATTATTATTTATTATTATTATTTATTATTATTTATTATTATTATTTATTATTATTATTTATTATTATTATTTATTATTATTTATTATTATTATTTATTATTATTATTTAATAATAATTAGCATTATTGAATACCTTATTATTATTTAAATTATTTTTAAATTGAAAAATGAATTCCTGAAACATTCTTCCTTTGTATTCCGCAGGACACTAAATCTTGCGACTGCAATTTTATTCCCGTGGGGCAAAAATCAACTAATTCGAAAATATCGCAATAAAGTATGCAAAAACAATTCGCAGTCAAAAAACAACGTCATGAATATTATGGTGTGATGCAAAAATATTTCTTTTGTGTTCCTGCGTGATTTGTAAAAACCAGCCATCATTTTCATTAATCAAATCACCACTATTAAAATATTCACCACTTTTAAAATAGCCTATTTAAAATATTCAGGGTTATATACGACAGAGCCCCTTGGACCAAGAAAAAAAAATTGCTCTAAGGAAAAATTTGTTGCAATGAGCCTTGAAAAAAAACATGGCGGCTAATTAATTGTTTCCAAGCAATAATTATTTCATTTTAACGAGATTCCTCATGCGATAAAATTGTATTCCACTGTATGCACAACTTGCGATATTTAAGAAATTGTAAATCTCGTTTTACCCCCTCCAAGTCAGCATGTTATGGAATTACAGTATTATTATTATTATTTGCCTGTGGAGTTTCCATGCATCTGCGGAATTTTTGTCTTCTCTCTGCACGTTCTCCGTTTGAATTTGAGAGATTCTGAAAATACTGCATATATTTAATCATGGAATAGCACATCAGTATTTAACTCATGTTCTGTATCAGTATTTTCTTTTCTTTTATTTAATTTTATTTTTTACGTGCAGGATCTAGTCTGCAAGACCGACCGCGTCGTCAAGCAGCGTCGGATGGCGAGGCCAACAGCGACTTGCGATCTCTGACGATTGAGGAGCTGTGCAAAAACCGACAGCCTGACGAATTCTTTCGACTGACGACAGAGGGCGACTGTCGAGACGTCGTCAGGTGAGATTGTCATGCAGACGTATTGAAAAGTTTGGGTTCGAAATCTATAAGAAAATACATCAGGGTATGAAGAAGCGAAGAAAATCCTGGCTTGATGGAGACAATGTCAAATAGTGCAGTTGAACCTCGTCTCCAACAAGTCTACTTTGAAGGGACGACTCCGTGAAATTTCTATTTTAGAAATTTTTGTTGTTGAAGAATTTAGATTCATTCAGGTAGGTTAGGATCGATGGAAATTATTTTATGGTCTAAATTAATTTATTTAGAGTAATTTAGACCATTGATGAAAATATTTGCATCTGCTTTTTTTTTTGGAACAGTTTTTTTTTTTTCAAATGTAACTTCGATTTAAGAACAAAAANATATTTGCATCTGCTTTTTTTTTTGGAACAGTTTTTTTTTTTTTTATTTAGCTTCGATTTAAGAACAAAAAGGTCTTGAAATTTGACCGGGAGGAGGCTTGACTCGCGAAGTTTTGAGTGAGATAGGTTTGAAATTCATTGGAATCCAAGGATCAGGTGGACATTTATATTAATAAGGTTTTCAACTTCGCGACAAAGTTCAATTAAACATGAATTTTTCTAGTGGAAGAATTGATGAGTCACTGAAAAAACGGTTACAAAGGGATGAGAGGTACAATAGTCTGCAATTGAGCCTTACATTTTATGTTACAGGCATTACGTAATTTACTCGACGAAGCAAAAATCACTGTAGCTATAAAAACAAATATTGGTACTCTTCATGAGCAAATATTAAAATAACACATATACTGTATATTTTCAGAAAAAGCGAACAACTTCTATATACAAAGAGACCCTGAGATGAGGACATTATAATTGGTGCATCAAGGGTGTCTCTATGTCAAAATGTCCCTAAGTCAAGTCTCATTTTCCCTTACACTTACATTATATAATTTTAATTGGTGTTTCATGTACAAAATACTCACCATAATTACGTGAAAATAATATTTGGGGAATTGGATACTGATACCTCTGTACAGTACATAGAAATGTTTGCTTTCTCTGTAAAAATATCATTGAAGTGAAAAAGAGAGAAGGAAGTCCTTCTCTCTTGCTGGAGGTAATTTTTTAAATTAGCTGAATGGATGGTAAATTGGTGAGAGAAATGCCAAATGATTTTCCTTACTTCAATTTTAGGGTTGGAAATCTCAGTTTCTTGTAATTTGGCCTGAAATTTATTTGAAATTTTTTCACAAAATGTCCCTATGTTGAGTCAGTGTTCTCATGTTGGACCTTTTTATCATTTTTTAAGGGGAAATAAGTGCCCCTTGTCGAATTGTCTGCAGGTCAAGGTGTCTGCATGTGGGGGTCAGCATGAGTAAGTTTAGTTCACAAAAGTGGTTTGATGTCTGATGACAGAATATTTTGTGCTTGTTAAATATGATGTACCATGTACAAGGGTTGGTTCATAAAAGATGATGAACTGCCACTTGCTGTCATTGGAGGCAGATTCAATCTTTTCTTCTGCTCTTCAATCCTTCGTTGGTGTCTAATAAATTTTTCATCAATTACTTAGCTACAGAAGGAAATAAGAACAAGACCTGGATGACAGTGAATCCCCTCCATTGCTGAAGTGAAGTTTAATTTATCAAGAGCAGACCATGAATGTGCACTTGCATGCTCTATGACTTTGGTGGTCACGTGGTAAACTTCACTTCAGTGGAGGGCATTCACTCGTCATCCAGGTCTTTTTCTTGTTTCCTTCTGTAGCTGAGTATTCAATGAAACATTTATTAAACACCAATGAAGAATTGAAGAGCAAAAGAAAATAAAAATTTTGCATCCGCCTCCAATTATGACAGCAAGTGGCCTTTTTTCATCATCTTTTACGAACCAATAAACCACGTATATTTTTGTATCGGAATAAAATAAAGAGATAGAGAGAGAGAGAGAAATAAACATGATTTTCCGTCACATTTCGACGCAGGTGTGACAGAGCCGGGTTGACTGGCAAAATTCGTCTCGCCGGAGTGCGTTGTCCGAACGGATTGGCCTTCGATGTCCTGCGTCAGACATGCGACTGGAAGGCCAAAGTTACCAACTGCGACCAGTTGGAGAGTAAGCAGACTTTTTGCATCAAAATTTATTTTCTTCCAATTCTGAATGCAAATTGAAATTTCTTTCGAATTATAATGCTGGAAAGACATTTAATCCATTCCACGGACACTTTGAAAAACAGTGTTGGAAGCCTGTTAATTTACAGCAAGTTGCTAGGATGAAATTGTGAGTACTGTATTCTGTATATGAGAGAGATTCGCTTAGAATGTAAGTTATCCAGGAAATTTTAAGCTCTCAACTTTTTTTTGAAAATTCGCTTAATTTTATTGTTTTTTCTTTATTTATGTAAAAGAGTATGTCTTTTTTTTAAATAAAAATCCATATAGGTTAAAACGCGAGACTTATTGAAATTGGTGCATTTTTCTGTTGCAAAATGTCTGCGATTCGTATTTGCGTCAAGTGAGTCTCCCCTCCCACAGTGAAATATCATCATTGTGATTTACATTTTAAATCATCATTATTAACTTTGAATAAAATAAAAATAAAAAACCGAAGAAGCGAGGAACGAATTCTTGAAACAACACCAAAAAACAAACAAAAGAAGTTCTTTTATACCCCACGTAATTTTAAATTTAGAAAACAAAAAAAATCCATTTTTCATGCTGTGTTTTCATTATCTGAACCAAAAAAGAATAATGCCGTAATACAGTGCTTTACAAACATTTCTCGTTCATTTATCGTGAATAATACAAAATAGCTTTTGCGAGGTGTCTGGAGTGCCACGTACTGTACTATACACCACTGTGCAGTGTGAAAGTAAAATGTCTCGTTCGTTTTTCTCGAATGATTTTTCCTACACATCTTTTTCGTTTTTTTTTTTTTTTTTTTTTTATGCATGCAGAGCCCAGGAAAATCCTTCCGCTGTTGTCCACGACGGAGCCTTTGTGTTCCTCGCCCACGGCCTTGGCGTGTGGTAACGGGGAGTGCATAGCCAAGGAGCTGTTTTGCAACGGGAAACCCGACTGCAAGGACGGGTCGGACGAAAATGCTTGCGGTAAGAATACGATGACGAGAATACCGTATACGCACTCGAAGGATATGAGGCAAGTCGGGAGTCGAGACGACGATACTGTACTCCGCCGGAGGGGGGGTATTACGATACGATAAGAACAGTATTGCACTGCATTGATGGCCAAAGCCTTCATCCTTTCGGCGGGGATTGAGTTGCGTCGAAATGAACGAGTCGTTTTCGAGTATCAAATATAGAGGAGGCTATGCTACATACAGAACTAGTGCACTGTAATCCCATGGGTGCATAGATAGTATAATGTACGAGGGTTCTAACAAAAGTTCCAGGAATAGAAATGAAAATGGCGTATAATCGAGCTGAAAAAAAAATTATTCTTGAGGGAAAACATATTCTTTGGCACACGCAAAAAAAAAGTCCTGTTTGACATTTTTTTCTAATGTTTTGCAAAATACACCCTGGCAGAGTTTTGCTCTCCACTCAACAGATGAGGCGCCCTTCCTGCAGTTTTTTGTTGTTGTTGTAGCCCAGCTTTCCCCTCAGAATTCTTGAAATCAATCTGGCATAAATTCCAAGGGTTGCTTCCATGGAGGCAAAGAATATGTTTTCCCTAAAGAATATTTTTTTTCAGCCCGATTATATGCCTTTTTATTTATATTTAGAGAACTTTTGTTAGAACCCTCGTATATATACAGCATTGGAGTTGAGCGAAAATTTCGAATGGATTTTATTTTTTTATTTTTTCTTGGAGTCGAAAGAAAAAGCCGGAACTTTTCTGTCTCGATTTTTCAGAAAGAAAAAAAGATATGCCCATGGTACTTGCACAAATATGATACTGTCAACCGAAATAGCATTCCTTTTTTTCATTCAGTAGAATACATGTAAAAATAATTTGAAAATCTTGATTTCTGATACCTTGTGGAAATTCTAAACAATAAAAATGATGGAGTTCAGATAACTCTCTTGATCAATTTTCGGCATGCGAAGAAGTTAGCGTATTTACTGGAGTACCACAGGTACATTAATTTTTTTCAAAATTGAAAAGAAATGAAAAGGGGGGTGAGCATCATAGGTTCCCAAGTGGGGAGCTATTTTTGCTGTGACCGCACAGTACCTGCACACCAGGGTCACAACTGGTGCATATGGGATATTCTGGGGTACAAGGGTGCACTCCTGTAGAGGAAATTTTGCTACCATTCCAGGTGGGGGGGGGGGGGGGGGGGGTGAGCGTCATAGGTTGTTAAGGGAGGATCCAGGATACTGTATATAAATTGCGACGTTTTTTATTTATTTATTTTTTTTTTTTTGCAGCCGTGGACCAGGATCCGAATGCGGCGCCCAAGTGCGACACGTCCCAGTGCATCCTGCCCGACTGCTTTTGCTCGGCTGACGGCACCCAGATCCCGGGTGGCCTGGAACCACAGCAGGTGCCACAGATGGTGACCATCACCTTTTCCGGCGCAGTCAACGTGGACAACATCGACCTGTTCGACGAGGTTTTCAACGGGAACCGGCAGAACCCGAACGGGTGCCAGATCAAGGGCACGTTCTTCGTGTCGCACAAGTACACCAACTACTCGGCCGTGCAGGAGTTGCACCGCAAGGGCCACGAGATGGCGGTGTTCTCGGTGACGAGTGAACCCGACGAGAACTACTGGACTCACGGCACGTACGAGGACTGGCTGGCTGAGATGGCTGGGGCCAGGCTCATCATCGAGCGCTTTGCCAACATCACTGACAACTCCATCATTGGTTCGCCTTTTTCATTGTTTTCCCCTTCCCCATCCCCGAATTTCTGGGATTAAAGATATGCTTTACAATATAGTACAAGTGTGGACTCTCTCTATATCGAAATTCACGTAGCCAGAAAAAATTAGTTGTTTACATAAAAATAAATTCATTTGATTTAAAAAGCAAAAATTTTTTCAGATATTGAAATGTTATCTAGAAATGTTGGTAAATTGCTCATATCTCAAGACCTTGTCTGGATGATGTTGGGGCATAACTTTGAAGTTCAAAGAGTCATTGAAGTCAAATGTCCATATGATATGTTGGGGCATCTGCATTTGGGGCTCCATTGTATATTACAGGTTTACTCCCTAAAAATGCTGTCTACCATGATTTCATCTGCATAACAAAATTTTTGTTTGGTTCCATAGGGTCCTCTTCCCATTTTATAGGGGTTATCTATCTCTATAGAACCCTTATAACATGGGGAAAGGGCCCTTTGCAACCAAACTCAATCCTGCACAGTTATTTTACCCAATTTTTGATCAAATGAAGGACCAATTAAATATATTCCCATTGAAGTCTAAGGGAAAGTGTGAGATGTGAACATATGGTATGTAAAAAGGTCGAAGCAATAAGTATAACTGCATCTTGGGGCCCTCCTGTACTAGAGTTGATCTTCAGTTAACAAACACGTTCTATTCCACAAAAAATATCCCCCAAAAGATTACCATCAGGTAATATATAATTTTTTTCATTTCACCTGAAACTACAGGTAAAATTTTTAAAAATGAGGTTTTTTTCCAAAATCTACACCCTTAATGTGTTCCTCGATATATGCCCAAAGACATGGTTTCCCCCAAATCACTCAAAGTTATGAATCTTTCAGACTATTTAGATTTAGAGTGCTGTACAAAAAGAAGTTGGGCCTAACAATGGATTTGGACTCAAATGCTGATTTAAATTGAATTTAATTGCATTGCATTTTCATTTCAGCAAAAATTTAGTTTGTTTTTCTCTGAAAAAAAAAATTGCCTTATTCTTGCTAGAAACTATAGTCTAATTTTCAAGCTCACAAAAAGCTCCATCCAAATGGAGAAAAGTTCAAGTACAGTATTATAAAGGAGGTTAGACTTGAATAGAAAATCGATTCGCAAGCAATTGCGTTGACGACCTTCAATTTGAGCTTGAATGCATTTCATCGCCTTTGGTACAGTATAGTTTCAGAAGAAGAAAAAAAAGTGCCGCTTGGAAATCTTTCTTTCTCGTTGAAATCCTGCGCCACGAACGAGGCATTCATTGCAATCATCAATCTTGCCACAGGTGTGCGAGCACCGTATCTGAGAATCGGCGGCAACACGCAGTTTGAGATGATGGCGGACCAGTTGTTCGTGTATGATGCAACCATCACGGCGCCACTCGGTCGAGTCCCAATTTGGCCCTACACACTCTACTTCCGCATGCCGCACAAGTGCGCCGGGAACGCCAACAACTGTCCGTCCAGGAGCCATCCTGTCTGGGAAATGGTACTGAAATCGTGTTCTAGGTGTCGCTCTTCTCATTTCGATTCAATCAATAACATTTGTCTTTCTACTGTCTTCAGGTGATGAACGAATTGGACAGAAGAGACGACCCCACGTTTGATGAGAAACTACCTGGGTGTAACTTTGTTGACTCTTGCACCAATATTCAGAGTGCGGATCAGCTTGGCCGACTCCTCCGACACAATCTCAACCGACATCTCAAGTAAGAAGATGGATGACACGCAAATAATATTCACTATTGTATCAATATTTACAGATAATATTTACTTTTTGCTCGATTTCCAAGCGCACACATGTATGACAGTTGTCCCAGTCGAAAGCGGACTCCGATATTTCTAGACTATCTAGAGAACATGCGATGTGATAGTAAAAGAAGACAAATACTACATAGCCCATGATGTTCTACGGTTCTTGGATTTTTAAAGAAGTTTTTCAATTTAATGCATGAAGATGAGGGAAATCTTTTCAGCCAGAGTTCTGCATCCATGTCACAATAGGATACTAAAATTTGCATGGCTAGCAAAAAATTGAAAATTTTCTTGTTCAAAGCTTTCAACCATTCTCTAAAATGTAGAAAAGTATTGAAAAACTTAAAATTAACGTTCATTTCAACCATTATCTATAATGCAGAAAAGATAATGGGTAAAACAACAGCAAAATGTAATTTTATGGCTGGCCTGACAAATTTTTAGCACCCTGTGACATGGATGGAGAACTCTGGCTTCAGCTGGAAAATCTTTGCTTATCATCATGCACTAAATTGAAAAACTCTTTTTAAAAGTCCATGAAACTGAGAACATAATGGGCAGTGTCATATGCATTATTTTACAATTGCATCCACTCCAGAAATATCAGAGGCTTTGTCCAACTGGGACAACCCTTATATATGTTGTATAAATATATACTGTATATATACAATATTTATAAGGGTTGTCCGAATTGGATGTAGCCTCTGATTTACATATTTCAAGATTGAGAGAGAATAAATGAGGGCGTGTCATAAGCAGGTATTTAATGTATAAAGAATTCCTTGGCTTTGTGTTTGCTCCACTTTTCATCTCCAAGCGAGATGCAGGTTGAATTTAACTGCTTTTCTGTGACAAGTATCGAAAAAACAAACTTATCTCGTGGTTAATCTTACAGTCAAGATTAAGAGCATCATGATTATTGCCCTTTTCTGCAGCTCAAATCGGGCGCCTTTGGGATTGCACTTCCACGCGTCCTGGCTGAAGCAGAGCAAGGAGTTCAAGCGCGCCTTGACTGGCTTCATTGACGAGATGCTCGACAGAAACGACGTGTACTTCGTCACCATGCTGCAGGTGAGTCGCTGCGTGAATAATGAAAGAGATGCGATGGGGGATCTGCGGCCTCCGAATGACCTGGAAATCCCGGCTGATAACTTCCCAGCGCATGATTATGATGTTTAAAGTCAGGAATTGAAGCAAATTATTCGAAATTCTGACAACCCAGAAAGTTACTGCGAAGGGGGGAAGGAAATAAGTTTTCTTAAACTGTAGATAATTGATATGTTGCGAGAAACACCCGTCACAGTACACAAAAACCCGAAAATCGGCGAGCATTGTAGTTGCTGAAGTACAATACACCTGTGTTCTGTATACAGATTCAATTATATGAGGAAGTCAGAAAAAATACTGCCGAATGCTGTGATAGAACTTTTATTTTGAGGAAAGAAAAGCAAGGACCCCAGAAAAAGCTACTGTTCTGCGGTTAAAAATATTTCATCCCAACTGAAAAAATGCAAAATGTGCATCTTATGAAGAAAAAATAACGGGCAACTTTTAGTGAATTATTTATTACTTTTTAATTTTCAAATACACAGAACCCCTTTAACTGATTGAAAAATGTATCAAAAACCTTCCAGTATGGACTTCTTTTAAAGCTCTACGAAGAAATGCAATTCTTTTCCATTTAAATTCCTGTCATATCTTCAACTTTTATTTAATTCAAAATTTCATCTACTGTTGATTTTAATATCTAATTTATTGATTGATCGCCAAAAACGGGGACGCATTCCTTACACAGGGCTACATTTGTACCCTAATTTCCCCTAGATATATAATAAAGATGCATGTCTTACAAGGGGGTAATTTACTGCACTTGAGTCAAGTAAAATAAATGACTCCCTGCGCAGTAATTTTCTGGATGTCCCCAGATAAAATGACACTGTATATAACAAAAAGGGTAAACAACACTAATTTGTCCATAAACGGTAACTTCACCACCAGAAAACAAAGTACCGTAACTAACATCCCGTTGCAACAGAAAGGCAAAATGCTCCGAACTTCGCAAAAAGTTTTGTACAGTCCCTTTATATTTGCTGAGGGGGAAAAAAGGTTGACACTGGGCTGTGTTCCAGGTCATTCAATGGATGCAGAACCCTACAGAGCTGACGGGGCTCAGAGATTTCCAAGAGTGGAAGGAGAAGTGTGACGTGAAGGGCAATCCGTTCTGTTCTCTGCCCAATGCATGTCCCGCTACCACGCGGGAACTTCCCGGCGAAACTTTGAGACTGTTCACTTGCATGGACTGTCCAAACAATTACCCGTGGATCCTGGATCCCACCGGGGACGGATTGAACACGCGAAAGTGATTGATTGATCAATTGACTGATCTAGTTTTCACTGACAGCAACTTGACTGGTATGTTTGTGTGTGTGTGTGCGACAGGTGATCCAGTGGATGCAGAACCCGACGGAGCTGCAGGGACTCAGGGAGTTTGAAGAGTGGAAGGACAAGTGCACCGTGCAGGGGAACCCGTTTTGCTCGCTGCCCAACTCGTGTCCAGTCACCACCAGAGAGCTGCCTGGCGAAACGCTGCGACTCTTCACCTGCATGGACTGTCCCAACAACTACCCGTGGATCTTGGATCCCACCGGGGACAATCTCAATCTTTGACACTTCTGTCCTCCTCACCAACAATGGAAACGATAAGTTGATCAGTTGCTCTTCTATTGGAAAAGTGCATTCGCTGCTGTGCTCACCCGTGACTTACCTGGTCACAAATCTCCGTTACCTATTTGCAACATTAATCTAATTCCACGACTTCTCAAATTTTGCGCCTAAAGACTTTCAAGTTTTAAGAAAGGAGTGATCGAATTCATCGGTGTACTCAACATTGTTGATATTTATTTTTATGGTTTTTATTTGCGTATTGTTTGTTCCTTCGTGGCTTTTGTCTCGACGATAATGAAAAAAAAGTCCGTGTACATGCAGCAGACCGAAGTTCTGCAAATTTTCTACTTTTAATTTGCTTCCAAACCTGACATACACTGTGAATCATGCGTTATTAGACCTACAGGTACGTGAATATTCCAGATTGCCAAGACAAACATTTTCAACATGTTTCTTGATGGCTGAATACAGCTAATATTAGTAATTTATCAATTGCTGATGAGATGAATTACTCGAGAAGGAATATTCACCTGAAACCGGTTTGCGATTATTAAGGACACGAACCCTCGTTTCGTATGTACCAAAAAGTTTACTTCCCCTCTCCCACGGGCCAAATCTTTCCCAAGATGAAATCAGAAACTTATGCTTCATCCCCATCAAGTCTCCTTCCTTCAAGTAAATTCTTAATTCATTACCTCCCGATCAATATTTTGGTTCTAGCGTACGTAAATCAATACCGGTTATCAGACAGAAAATAAAATTAATCGCTGACCGTGATACAACCCCCTATTATTCAGCACAATAAAAATAACAGATACAAGAGTCAATCAATTTGCAACGGTATCATTCACTGGCATTCAGATTAAGAGACGCGAGTCGATTTCCAAACGAAAAAAAAAATTTCACGACTCAGCAGGCTTACTTGCAGAATTGGCCTCCTTGCCCTTCCCAGATTTTCCCGCTTCATGTCCACGCTGATGTAGTTCCTTCAGTTCAGAACCCCATCCCAGCAATTCTGCCAATTCCTGGCATCCGTCATCTGAATTGCCAATGAACGCTCCGAAAACACCGTCTCGATCGCTCTTGCTGCTTCGCATCGCAAACAACTCCTCGCCCACCATCTCTCTATTGATGAGTAGTTTGTGACACGAGGCTGGAATCCGGCCCACCAACATGTTGATCGGGGACACGGCCAAAGAAGTGCCCATCACAATGAGCAAGTCGGGATCGCGGAAGTCAATCTGGAGTAAGTCGTAGAACCTGTCGGGCAAGTTCTCGCCAAAGAACACAATGTCCGGCTTCACAATAGCACCACACGATTCACACTTGGGTACTTCGTCTCGAAACACGCGCGGCTTCACCCAGTCAGAGTCATAGGCTTTCTTGCATTTGATGCAATGCGAGGTGGAGAAAGTGCCGTGGGCTTGAACCAGGAATTCGTCCGACACTCCGGCGACCTTCTCCAAGTCGTCAATGTTTTGTGTGTAGTGGCGGACCAGCAGCTTCTTATCTTGAAGCAGTCGGATGAAGTAATGGCTGAGTGTCGGTTTGTAACCACCGGGATACAATTCCTTCGCGAGCGCGAAGAAGGGCTTTGGATTCTTCTTGAAGAATCGAATTTCAAACACAGCTTCCGGGTACGGGAGATCAAGTTTGGCCAAATTGTCATATAATCCAGTCCCTTCGAAGAAAAGCAATGGAATACAACTTTTAAACACAAATTTTACTCGTTTCTTCCCTGTGCTGGAGGACGGCATGGAATCAAAGAAGGAAACATCTTACGCAAGATCTAATTTTTCCATTTCAAAACCGTTATCCAATGTTCCTTGATTGGTCATCAAATTTTAATTGGAAAATATAATAATAAAACAGACCTGGTGAGCGGAAGTCGGGGATACCAGCAGCTGTGGATATCCCAGCACCAGCAAGAACAACAATTTTCTTGATTTTGCCGTCACGAATCCCAGCTGCAATCTTGGGCATGGCTTCCGCATCTGCCTTTGGTGCTGGACGGGAAAGCATAAGCTGCTTCAGTGCCTGCGAAAGTGCGTCTTCTTCCTCTTCTTCATTCACTGTTTGAGTCGGCTGCTGCTTATCCGGCTTTGGCTTCTTGCCCTTGTCTCGCAACGGACCTTCTGGCTTCTTTCCATGATTTCCTTGAAGAAAAAAAAAAAAAAGAATGCTATCCAAGCAGTTCTTTCACAACCGACATTCAGGTGGACATTACCAGAGGAAGAATTCTCATCCGGGTTCTGACCACTCGAACTGGACATCTTAAAACCCAGACGACGATCAGAGGCAAGAAAATGCAACTCTGGAACAACCAAGATGCCAAATCAAGCAATACAGGATCCCAACATCGTGAAATAGGAACAGAAGAAAACACACGTGCGATCGACCTTGTCACAGCAAGCACACAAAGATATCAGGAATTCAACAACGCACCTGAAAATCAAAAATGAGAGTTACCGCATACGAGATAAAATTGAAAATAAAACCGTGTCTCCACACTAAACTCTTGAAAAAATGGACCAAGGCAACCATTATTCGGAAGATGCAGAATATTTCATTTCAAACAAACCATCCCGACGAAGAGAAACAATTGATAATTCCAGTGTCAACAACATTGTTCCGAGAAAAGATGACGTCCGTGAGTCAGCTTTGCTAAAATAGAAAATGCTGCGCTGGTAGGCAATCCACCAACTAAGAATATACGAAGACTGAATCCGTCCAGAAAACCAGATTTGCACCTTTTCTTTCTCAGCTATTTCTTCAAAATGTCATTCCCTTTGATACAATCATACAGCTCAAGAGATTCACAGGAAGTGCCATTTAAATGAGGACCAATTAGGAATGTTTGCAGTGGAACGAAGTAAATCAGGGTAACGAAATAATGCATCACCGTAATAACATTCACTACAAAAAACAAATAAGATGAAGCAAAAAATTGATTCACATACGAGTTTTTCGGATACCAAGAAGCGACTAAGCGGTAGATCGCGCACCAGAACAGCACCAAAAACAAAAAAAGCTTCCTTCCGCACTAAAATTCACTCTGTAAACCGGCTGGCATGATTTCAACAGCACGAGAATTCTGCCTTTCTGCAGTGGTTGAAATGCAGTACGAAAGTCATTTCATTGAGCACCCGAGTCAGAAATACGCGACAACCGTTTCGTCAAAAGAAACAAAAACAGAAACGGAGTCTCTTGCTTGAGAATTGTCACAGCCCATCGTATCAGTTCCAGGGGAATCACGATCATCCGAACTACGGTCATCCGTGGTGGATTGATTGAACGAAAACCGCAATCTCGTCATTTTTTCTTGTCATCGAAGCTACCGATCATCTCGAGTGGATTGATTAAACGGCAATCCTCATTTTTTCCAATTTGTTCTGTCAAGCTGCTGGAATCCACCAGAAAAACTCAAAGTTCCTTCTTCAACCCCCTATCGCGAGACCACATAGAGTTCACAGCGACAAACATCGTGCATCCAACAACGAACGCAGCCACAGCGTACGCCAGTGCTGAATTGCTTCCACACAACGACTGGATATGACAGTAGCCCTTCGCAAAATGCATCGAGAACTCTTCGAGATCGCACAACCCTGACGAACAAAATGGCACCCGCATCTGCTGTTCGTTGGCATACACGCCAACTTTCAAACTGCCCGCGCAGTTGTACAAAACCAATGCGATATTTGCACCAAATGGCGTCGTTTTCGAACCGCGCCAAATCCGGTTCTCGGCTATCTCGCCGGGATAATCGCCCGCCTTGAGCACGTGATCGTCTTTAAACAGTCTTAATCGCGTGATCAACTTTTGCAAGGCGCCGCAGTGCGTGAAATGAAATTTTGCCTTGAAGGTGCGATCGAGCGCCGAAGCACGGAAACTGTCCACGATGTTCTTCGCAGTTTCGCACGCCAGCATAGAGTTTATCTTGTTGCCATGTGCATGAACGTGCCAGCGGTCCAAGTCTTCAAGGTACTCCATCGCATTCAAGTCTGCTTGCGAACTGAAGGGCGCACACCACACGGACGCGTTCCCCGTGAAGTTCCAGGCAGTTTCGAATCCACACACGTTGTGGGCAAGGATCACATCTTCTGCAGGAAACAAAAGACCATGATCCAGTCAGAGATAGCATTCAATTCAAATGTAATTAAAATTTCTAGAATGCCCTACGAATCCCAGATTGCGGGACCACCCATAGGGCCACTGTACAGTACACAAATTTTCAACTGCATCATGCATAAAATGTTCACAGCTCAATTGAGTTAGGATAGGATCGGTAAAATGATGGATCCGGTCTAAAATTCACGCGACATCTATACTCAAAATTCGAAGGAAACCAGGCATTGGAGCGAACCTTGGATCGAAATTCAATCACAGCTGGTTCATCTCTTTCAAAAACATGCGACTAAAAAGAAGTCCCTCAACTAAGTTATTCTTGAGGAAAACGATGCTTTGCTCGGCGAAAATGCCAGAAGGTCTAGGAAATATACATTTTAAAAGACAGGTATTTTATTTACCAGGCGTCACAATTTCGTCTGGAATTCCGAATAGCTCGACGAAGTTCCGACGAATTCTCTCAACAGGTTCACTTTTCAAGAAACGCTCGTACTCAGCCTTGCTAGACGGTTCATGCTTCACGTTGTCAATCCAATACTGACATGTTTTGTAAGGCTGAAAAAGACACGATAGAACATCTCACCATGCGCCAAAAAAAAAGAACACCATCAAAATTGGGTAACATCGAGGTACAAACCCGTAAAACTTCATCGCCTTCGGTCACGACATGAATCCGCTTGCCACTCGCTTCCTCACTGCCAAGAAAACCCATCATGAAAAATTCCCCGCTTTTCACGGCTCTTTGCGTCGGGGTTGCCTGCAAGAGATATGACGGAAAACGTCTCGGGTCAGCTGGGATCAAGGAGAAGGTAAAATCACGGAAATTATTCCATATCATAAGTTTCTACAAAATTATGACAATATGTATTGAGTTATAAAACAGATGCAGTTGAACCTCAGTATGTCGAATTTTACCAGTAGAACCAATGCATCAAAAATGTCCCAAATTCGAAGGCTTTTCCCCTCAAACATATATAACTCGAATTATTTGGAGAACTTCTCGCTAACATGTTATTGACATTAAAAAAACAATAAAAATTGTAAATGTATGTGTTTTGAAAGGAAGTGAGACTAATTGGGCGAATAACCCGTTGCCTCTGAGTTCAGCATCCTGGTAGAGTAACTCATTCAGGAGGCAATTCAAGGCATAGAATATCACCAATTACAATTTCCTGAAATTCTTCATTCTTTTCCCCAAAACAAATGCTTGTTCCCCAACTAGAAACCTTCCGAACACGAATTTTTTTTTGGCTAATCCCTTGAAGTTCGGCTTGACGAAGTTCGACTGTACGACGAAGCCCAGCATCGCAAATTCAAGCATCAGAAAAAAACTCACATGAAACTGTGAATCTTCGACCTCAAAGTCGGAAAACGCGGCTCGGATTCGCTTTCCGAGGGACTCCATTTCACGCTCTCCTTCCGCGGCCAAATGGTGACCCACAGACGGATGGAGGTCAAAGAATGTCCAATTCTTCATGTATTCCAATTCCGAAGGACACAACTTTCCACCGTTTCCCACGTCGATGCTCCACTGGCGCAGTTCTTCTAACCGGCGACGGTATCGAACAATTTTCTGCTCCTTCGGAAACCTAGTCCCGTGTCGTATGTACATCCATAAGTGAAGAGGTTGACAATCTGGGAAATGAAAAAAAAAAAAAAACGTTCATTGGAATTTGATCCTCTTCGGTGGACGACTTTACATTTTTCAGAGACGCAAAATGGAATTTTTAAAAATACGCATCACTTGCTGGAACACTCACACGAGATCGTTATTTTTCTTGCACAGCTGGCCCGGTTTAACTCATTTACGACAGAAGACACGGGATCTTTCAATTCCACGCGACCCAAACTAAATAACGCATTCAGCCCAACAACGAAATACGATCCAGAATGAAACGTTTAAAGTTTCGAGCGTGGATTTCTTCCCCAGTGATTGATTTAAAACAACACGAGCAATTTAGTTCCCCTCCTGAGGAATTAAAATTTCTCAACACTGAATCAAACTCAAGTTAATTAAAAACCCGGATAATCGAAGTTAAATCCTTTTTTTTCGGGCAGCAACACAAAGGAGGTGAGAGGTACAGTAGTTTGAAAATGATTACCTCCGCAGAAAGATACAGTTGCATTAAGCTGGAAATTAACTCTTACCTTGAGGTATCCACGAAATAGGAGATTGCTTGTCATGAATTAATCGGTACGCCGTGTTGGTCCCGAAGGCATCTGTGAGCATCGCGATTCGGGATTTGCATTCTTCAAACGCGTCCCCGCCGCAGAGTCGCAAAAGCAAAATCGCCACGCTCGACTTGATGATCTGAACGCAATCACTCGTCAACATATTCCCGACTGTAATCCTCGTCCGGAAAGCCAGAGAAAAATCGGGAATTCAATACGTTAGCTGCTAAACACCGAGCGGTAGTAAATTTTCCGAGGTCAAACGGTCACTGGTAACGAATTACAAGTATTGAGATTTATAAAACGGAAAATCAAGTTATGCATTTTCTTGCGATAAATACTCCACAAAAATTCAGTTGCTCATCGTGCGATAAATTTACCTCGAACGATTGATAAATTGAGCGAGAAACAGTTTGATTGCTCGAGAGCTTCTGAAAAATTGCATTTCATGATTTAGAGTCGAACGCCGGTTCCCAAATGCACGAAAATATGCTGGAAGGTCCGAAAATTCGAAGAAAACCAGGGATACCTGCTCAAATCTGCATGATGAACATTTTATCTTGTGTTAATATCCGACTTGTACAAATGCATGTATTATAATAATTGATGATGGGCATACTTTCAGGTCTTGAAAATTGCTCAACAGACTCAACTACTCATTACATTGTCAAATAGAATATGCAGTACAAGCTGTATTTTAAAAACTATTTCTACATTTCAAATATTCGAGATATCGCAGTTTCATTTAAATTCTGGTTTGCAACGTTTTCCGGATTCTCCGTTGGACTGAATTTGCATAAATGATTATCCCAATGATCAGGCTTCGTAACGGAAAATGAACGAACAATTTTAAATCTGTTTGAATTACGTGGAGAGCTTCAATGAAAGATCATTCTGTTAGGACGAATATAAATATTTCCCCGAATTTTCTCGAACTTTCGGACCTTCCCACAAATTCCTTCGAAAAAAATAGAAACCCAAGAGTATCACGAAAGCTATTTCTTCTCTTTCTTGTCACTAAAATATTCATTCCTCAGTTGATGGGTGGGTTTGATGAGGCCCCGTTTCTTCAGCTCGTTGATGACGACAGTGGTCGTGGTTATCGTCGCCAGGTATCGCAATGGTGAGAGAAGCTTTAGAAACAAAATGGTTCCTGCGAGAGGACCCAGTTTCGCGATCTTCTCCGATGATCCCAAAATGACGAGGTAATCCGAAAGATCCACTCCAGCCTGGAACTCAAAAGAGGAAGCAATTCTAAAAATAATGTCATTACGTGAGAGGCGTTGCCATCAATATTGATATTGAGTAATGTACAGTATTCTGAAAAAACCCCCCGATTCGTCCTTTAAAATTATTATACATACAGTAATTCCTCATAAAAAAACTGAAGAATCCTTCATTGAAATATTTTCAACGCATTTTTTTAGAAGATTAGATTATGAATAAGCTAGCCTTACACGCGAATCGCCTATATTAAAGTGTTGTATATTACATCATTGAAAAAACCTAACCTGACTTACCAAATTCAACATTCAAGGTGGCTAACTGACCAACCCTTACGTTCACTTCAACAAATCCATCCTTACACTCGACTAAACGAACACAAAAATAAATTGAGACAAATAGACTAACTCACTTGACCTCACTTCTAACGTAGCAAAATAAGCTAATATAATTTACCGAACCTAATACTGTACAGTACTTGAATCATCGCCCAGTTTCTAACCAAACCTGACCTTTCCGCACTTCGGTCGACAGATGGCCAAATTAAATACAGTAGTAACTGAGAAAAAATTATGAGCCTCAAAGAAAAATCTATTTTAAACAACATGAAAACTAGCAATTCTTCCATTCAAGACTGTTTAAAACATGCGGAAGGCAATCTTGAGTCTTCATATTTATTCATGAGAAGAAATAGTAATTTTATGATTACAGTATTCGGCTTGTAAATTTGGATGAGTAAATATCTAAGGAATCAATCACAAAATTAAAAAAAAAATTAAACAGCAATCCGATACTGTACTTGATGATAACAAAATATTAATTTATTTTTGGGACAAACTCTCGAATTTATTGACCTATTATTCCTGCAGTTTAGTTTAATCATCATTACTCTTTTACAATCCAAGTAGCGCACTTACTTTTAAGGCGGAGTAAATAATAGTGAACCACGTGCCGGTCAACGTTAAATGGACCGGCACGATTATATAGCCATAATCACGATACAAATTCTTCATTTTGGAAAACGAGGACAGTTTTGCTTCCTCCTTGCGCTTCTCGGGACCATCAGGGCTTCCACCACCAGATGTCGCCCTCGAACATTCGTATCGAACTCGAAGAATTCGTCGCGCTGGAAAATGAAGCGCAAGAAAATTGTCTTGTGCGTGGGCAATCCATAACCGACTTCCGTGTAAGCGGAAGCATCGCAATCCGCAGAGTAAAGACATTGGAGGTAATCGAGGAGTTTAACGTGGGAGTAATAATCATCTAAGAAACGATACAACACAAGGTTAATGTACGTCACGAGTTCATTGAAACAATATAGAAGAAAATGTTACAGGAAATTTCCGCATTCAATCGACAAGCATTTCGAATTGGAAAGAATAGATCCAAAAATGATTTTAAAAACGGTCGAAAAATGTCAAGAACTTTCAATAACCCGACTACGCGTGTGTAAAGGCATTTAGGGTACCCGTGAACTTACTGCCCCACCTTAAATTCAGTTTTCGTGGAGCTCCGTCACAAGAATCCTGGGGCCAAGCAACTATAATAATGTAATTTCAGTTTCGAGCGTACAATTGGAAGAGGGAGCCCAGAAAACAATTTTATTTGCTTTAACCATAAAACTGAAACATTTCACTAATAACTTCTACTCAAGCTAGAACGTTATGCTCGAACTCACGTAAGGGTAAAATTCATCACATACAGTACTTCCCCTAAGCACACTGACTTTTCGTAAATTCATGTGAACACAGAATATTAATAATTCGCATTAATAATTAGGCAACAGAAAAAATCCTACAACAAGCAGAGTTGAATTCACAGAGAGAAAGTCTAATGATCAAAACAATATTACATTTGATCAGATCGAAAATGACACATTCTTTCGAATTTCTTGATACCTTGGCTCATCGAAAAGACGGGCTCATCAAGAATATTTCTTCAACAATTCGACAACATCAGCGTGATTGCCGGCGAGAGCAGCGTCCATCGGAGTTCTGCCTGTGCAATCTTTCGCGTTTGGAATTGCACTGGCTTTGAGCAGAGTTTCCACGATGGCAAAGTGACCGGAACCTGCTGCCCGATGCAAGGAAGTCGCACCCAGTGCACTGGTTTTGGCATTCACGTCAGCACCTGAGGAGAGATTTCGCCGAAAATAAAATGAGCAGTGAATCAAGGTTCGAAAATTTGAAAACTAAAATACTGTTAACTACTGTACATAACTTAACTTGCAAAAAAATTAATGCAAGATGAATAAATATTCCGTACGCCATCAAAAATTCCACCTGGAAGTGGAAAGGTTCTAAAACCTCAAGGGCCAATTCTTGGGAGTATCTTCCCTCAAGGAAATGGAGGGGAAAAGAAAATGGCCTCACACAAAGCATTACACTACAGTACACTTTCATTAGACCACTTGAACTCTCTAATTTAGAAAACTTTGGTGTGGAGGTACTTTTTCAGCTGTTTCAATGCGAGTGAAAATTAAATGTTGTCTGACAGTCTGTTCCAAACTTCAGAGGACTTCCAACAGCTTAAATTACGTTAGTGATTGTGATTAATTTACACACGGCGTCTACGGTAACTAACGAATAGCGTTCAATCGGCATTTTGAAGACTGGAAACTCAGTTAAGGTAAATTCCTACGAAAAAGACGAGACTCAAGCACCATTCGCGAGCAACTCTTTGACAGCCGCCAGGTTCCCTCGAAGAGATGCGTGGTGGAGACTCGTGTGTCCACTTTGATCCCTGGCGTCCACATCATCGCCTTTCTTCAGCAACTTGACAATGCGATCCACATCATTATCGATCGCTAAAGACGGAAGAAATGGATCTTAAACCGAAGAATAACCAAAATAGCATGCCGAAAAAATTATTCAATGAATTTCTCGAAGCTCCAAGAAAACAGCTACGTTAGTTAACGCTCCCATCCCGTTTTCTATACAAGAGGAGCTTAATGGACTAAAGTCGCACTGCGTTCACCATATGACTCCAGTTTGTAGCCATGAATTTTATGAAAAACACACATCATTTCGAGTTCAAAATGCAGATACCCACAAGGAAACGAGGCTTGAAATGTAACATGAAAAACTCATCGCCAAAGCAATTATCATATTAATTTATGGCTGTGCAGTACGGCAGTTCATCTCTTGGGTATTAAAGAGAAAACAAACAAAAAAGATTTAGATGTCGGAAAATAATAATGCGTCCATTTGAACAATTGTCCTTTAATTTTGAATTACGAAGAGATTCAGACGAAGACCAACTGCAGGAAAGTTTTGTTCGATATTTTTACCACAGCAGCACCGATGTACACAAAGGAAACAGATAAAGCCTCGGATGAAGCAATGTACAATTGAATTGCCCTTGTGAATGCAAAATTTAATCGCCATTGTGAATTCCAAAAACTAAGACGCTCTACTTGATAATATACCATTGTGATGGGCGAAAAAAAAATTCCATCACAAGAATGTTACATTCCTCATCACTCAGTAGCTTTCCAAGGATACACTACTTTCCACTTTCTTGAAATCTGGATTTTAGCGCATGAAGTTGACAAATAATTGAAGGAATGACGCAATGCCAAAAAAAATGTCTAGCTAATCGGATTAAAATTAGCCATCAATCTCGCGATTCTCTCACCAGCTGTCCATAGACCTCTTTCGAAATGTAGCTCATCCATAGTTTGTCGAACGGATCCCACGGCATCACCGTGGGAACAAGCGGATTCACAGCCGGGATGCATAACGGGAATATGGAGAACCGTAGTTCAAAGTTTCTTCACAAACACGGCGATTCCCTGGATCCTGACGCGTAAATAGCGACGATGAATCCAATCACACATTTTACACACTGTAAAAAAAATATCAGCAAATAATAAATAAATAAATAACAGAATCGATTTCAATACTCCTTCGTGGTTCCACCAACTCTCTGTCAATGCTGCGAGCGATTTTTGAGCCTTCTCCAGGTCGGGGGCTTTGTTCAATATAGTAATTTAGTGAACGCTTCGAAATTAATTCCTTTGGGCATTCGATTTTCTGAGTAGAATCACTCGATCATTCACAAAACTTGAAGCGGAGTTCTGTGAAAGATTGATTTCATTTTTTACCTCTGAAATTTGCATCAGGAGGATTTCCCGATAAATGAAAATAATCAGTCACAATTACGCAATTTGAAAATTCATAGAGATTTGGCAGGTAAAACCTCGCTTCTTCGTAAAATGAAAACGTGCCCTCTCAACAATCTGTCTCCACTCAACAGCATCACAGAGAACAATGGAAAGGGAACCCCAAAGCACCCAATTATCCGAATGCTCTGTGAAAATTAGCTTTTTTTGTACGCACCCCAATAGAAAAAAAAATGAAAATAAATCTAACACCGGTATTAATCCCATGAAATATGTAACAATGCCGCAGATCTCACTTCCTTTCTCACAGATTTATGAGAAAGAACATAAATCACCCTTTCGGAGCGAATGCTTGAATTCCAGTTATTGCGCGCCCAAGTATCAGAGCATGAATGTCATGGGTTCCTTCATACGTATTCACTGCCTCCAAATTCATGACGTGTCGCATAACGTGATACTCATCAACAATCCCGTTGCCTCCGAGCATATCTCTGCACGCCCGAGCAATTTCAATAGCCTTTCCACAACTATTTCTCTTGATGAGCGAAATCATCTCGGGAGCGACTTTCTTTTCATCCTTCAGCCGACCAACTTGGAGACACGAGTGAAGTCCAATACTGATCTCAGTCAAGGCGTCCGCGAGTTTCTTTTGTATCAACTGGTTGGCAGCCAGGGGTCTCTTGAACTGAATCCTGTCTAGAGTATATTGACGAGCTGCGGTGTAACAGGCCTCAGCGGCTCCCAGGACTCCCCAGGCAATACCGTAACGAGCATTGTTCAGACACCCGAAAGGACCAGCGAGTCCCTTGATGGACGGGAACGCGTTTTCGGCAGGCACTTGCACATCGGAGAGGCAAATCTGACCAGTCACGGAAGCACGCAGAGAAAACTTCCCTTCGATCACCGGTGTTGTGAAGCCGTCCATTCCACGTTCGACAATAAATCCCCGGATCGTACCTGCGGACAAAATTATTTCAAAAATTACGCATGAGTCTCCAGCACGAAGATTGGCCTTTGTAGCTGCAGGAATGCGGTGTCCAGTTCTACTTCATTGAAATTATGAATAACAAAAATGCGGGGAATGAAAAATTATATATTTAATTACAGTACAAAATACTCAGAAGCATCACTTCTTTTAGACAGGCTTTTGTATTAATATGTACGTACCCCAGTGAAATCTTCAAAAAAATACTGGCAGACTCTCTCCACAACGACTTTTATTTGCCCCACGGGGATTTCTACTGATGCTATAAAATTTCTTTACAACGAAATTCTCTCTACAACGCTTTTTTTTCTGCCCTCTTACTTTCGCTGTAGAGAAAGACCACCTGTAGTATGGATTTGTTTCATTAAATTTTGGACAGCAAAAAAGCACCAACGAACAAATTTGCCTTGTCCACAGTCTCCTCATTGTCATCTGAAGACACAACATTGCTCTGAAAGTAAATAGAGACAAAACCTTTTCTCAGGATTGCTCTAATGAACTTACAATTGATCACGCGTTACAAAAAGCTCACGCAATTATCAACCAATCTCATCCAAAAATGCACACTTATTATTTTATAGACAGCATTTCTGATGTATGGAGTTTTGTTTGAATCTACTTCCAGTTCCACATACTAGTAAACGAGAAAAACGAAGAGAAGTTTTGAAAGAGAAGACATTTAGAAAAAGTTTTAAAAATGAGGATATGAGTTCCGTATTCACGAAAGTAATACGCGCAATTTTTTCCAAGAAAGTAAGGCAAAAATGGGGTGCGCATCACAGTTGAGTACAAATGTTCAAGTGACATTTATACAATTTTGAAAATTTTCCTCCCAACTTTTAAGTTATTTCTTAGGCGCCTTTTTCGATGATTCTATTGTTTACATGTGGCAAAATCAGAAATATTGGATTTAACTTTCAAGAGGGCTTGTATTTAGATTTTTCAATCCAAATGATAATTAAAATATGAATTTTTGCGATTTAAAACCAAGGTGCGCGAGTCTTATTCAGGGGAGCGTGATACAGTATTGTGGTACTCGAGTTAAAAGGGTACTTCTTTTGGGTAATTATCTTCTGGACTGGGGTTTTCTGTCGCCCAAGAAACAAGCCATACGTACCCGTTTGATCCTTGGCCCAAACTACGGCAATATCTGCAATCGGTGAGCTCGTGATCCAGGTCTTGGTTCCGTTTAAGACGTACTTCTTGGAGGCAGAGTCGTATATTGCGCGGCACTCCATGCCACCGGGATCACTGCCATGATTGGGCTCCGTGAGACCGAAACAGCCAATAAGTTCTCCACGAGCCAGACGAGGTAGAAACCGTTGCTTCTGTTCTTCGGTCCCGTATTCCGCGATGGGACCCATGACGAGGGAAGACTGGACACTCATCGCGGATCGATACCCACTGTCGACTCGCTCTACTTCGCGAGCAATTAGCCCATAGGCGACCGAACTCACACCGGGGCATCCATAGCCGTCTATGGTGGGACCGAGCAAGCCGAGGTTCCCCATTTCGGAGTAGATTTCCTTGTGGAACATTTCCTTGCGCGTGGCTTCGACGACGCGCGGAAGCAGTTTTTCTTGGCAGTATTGACGAGCTGAGTCTCGAATGAGCTTTTCATCTTCGGTGAGTCGGGATTCTAGATTCAAGGCATCCGTGTGGTCGAAGTTCGCGAAGCAGCGGATGGAACCGAATAATTTTTCTTTCACCACGCGCGACGGGAGAGCAATTTTCCTCAAGGAGTTAGCAAGCAATGTCATTTTGAAATCACGTAATCATGCACGATTCTGAAAAATAGATCAACAGGATCCATCGCATTCCAATCACACAACATAACCCGTTTTCACTCGAATATGCGTCGATTTATTCAAAACTCAAATTTGCTGGCAACACTTTCATTACGGAGGACCAACAATAGCGTCGGTTTCATGCAGCATTACTTCCTGAAAATAAAAATAGTCGCGCACTTCAATTTTCAATTTATGACAAAATTTTCCCTCAGAAACTTCATGAGAAGAACTCTGCCCTGCGCTTCTTATATTTTTACCTTAAGTCAGTTAGTTTCATGAATTTAGTTCAAATCGTTCGATAAACATGTCCTTGGAGGTAAAAAAAATGTACTCAATAAATCATTACATATTTACCATACGAGATTTTACCCATTCTTTGATCATCGCACAACTAGAATTTGACGTGCAAATCTGTGACATCATTAATCATAAAAGAACACGTTTCTGCTAAGTGATTTAAAATCGATTGATGAATTGGCTTATATTCGCATACAGGAGGTTTAACAAAAATTAGCAAGTGATGGAATTCCACGGTACGCACGCATCACGACACTTCAGTAACCACGATACCACATTTCAGAGCATCAATCACAATATCCAGCATAACTTTGTATGCCATTAACTTTGGCTCAGCCAAGCAAATGCTGTCACAATTTCCCTTGTCTGAGATCAGCCTTTCATCACGTAAAGACGAGACCAATAAATCAAAAATTCGATGAACATGTGCGGTCAAATTTGGCAGAATTTCACAACTGCCACATATTTTTTCGCACATCATCCTACACAAATCTGATTTTGAGGACGATATGTGATCGATTACCATTTCATCAACTGAGTTCCGTACGTAAAAAGGATACCTGACTGCTAAATTCAGCAGAATAAGGCACTTGGATACCAATACCTGCAAAATAAATTGAATTAGTACATCCGTTACAAGTAAAGTATATAAAAATTCAGACGAAGACCAACCTCGGTTTGCTCCAGGAACTCAGGGGTTTCACTGAATATGATACTGGACACTCGTGAGTTAGCCTTTTTGAAAACAATCCAAGGTTCGGTGCCTACATCCAGGAATTCTATCGCGTCGATCATACCCATGTGTTGTTCTAAATGTACATGGTCATTCCAGCATCTTACTTTGCGAGCTCCAGATAATTGTGTCACTGCTTTCGTTCGTTTCTGTCCAAATAGCTCAACGCAAATTACTTTGCATCGCTTTAGAGCTATTTTCAAACCACTGTTCACTGCCTTCTGACAAATTACGATTTGCACACCAGACGCTAGTATTTTATCGTGAATGTTCTTTAATTCTAATGGTATCAAGTTCAAAAAGGAATCGTGGTAAGACTGCTTCTGGGTGTTTCTTTCACTCTCGATTAAAGCAAATGAGAACACTAGTACATGTATACAGCTCGATGACGATTTAAAATCTTCAGCTGTCAAGTCTGGCTCAGGAGCAACGACTCCTTCCACGAGAGCAAAAGAAAAAGGCAATCTCGCGTCAAAACTTTGAAGAAGAATGAATTCAGTTACGTCGAAGTTCTGTTCATCAGTATCGGGAAGGCTTTTCAAAAATGCAAAATGGATAGCATTAACAAGCAAATCCACGTCTTCAGATGAAAGCTTCGAAGGGCCTGGGAAATTTTCAACAAAATCTCGCAACAGCTTAAGAGAATCGTGAACGCTCCTGAAACTCATCCTCCTAATATTATGCTTAATGATCTCCATGAGAGTCCCCTTTGTTTGTAGCATTTCGAGGCACAATAGCACAACAGTGAGATCAACGGTGTTGCTCAAAACTTTTGATACCGTTCTAGATGCAACTCTAGCTATGAAATTTGAATGTAATCCAAAAGTAGCGACATCACCTTCTTTTAACAGATCTACGAAATTTACAAGGAAAGGGTGAGATGGTTCTGCGACTGCATGCAAATCGGAAGCTTCCCTCAAAATAGACCACTCTCCACATGATTCCGACGGAATGAAAATCTTTGCTGCATCGTTGAAGACGCATCTTTGGCCATATCTTCCGAGAACTTCAGCCATAAACTGCCGATTCTGCTGATCATTCAGCACGAGAGTCTTCAATCTGGGGCGGGAGCATATCATACTCGAAAGGATTCACACCACTAATATCCTTCGACGAACTGTTGACTAGAAGCAGAGCCACAATTCCTGTAACCAACAAACAAGATGTTCTTTCAAGTCCGTAGCAAGTCACTTCGTCACCATCGCAGCTTTCAGCGATTCTAATGCAGGGGATTTAATCCGGAGTACACTTTCACGCTCTCTGATCACTCACAATGACGCAAGTACAACGAAGATCGCAGAAGCACAGAAAGAAATGACACTTCATCCCTTTCTTACGTAACACAATTCCCGAAACGGTGCCTGATGAGTCTGTGCAACTACCACCCTTCGACCTGAGTGGCGCCTTACAATTGCGCGGCTGTTCCAGATTCTAGTATCACAGAGCAGAGCACGCACGTGCACTAGCCTGGGTGGATACCGTGATCGGTTCTTCCTCTTGATCGTTTGGATGTTTTCTTTTATGAAGGTGTCACTCCTTCTGATCCTTATTGCAGCGTGGGCCACTCCTCACTACCGGGTTTCATAATTGCTCAAATCACTACATACTCAAATCGCAATTCAGAAGAAAGGGCATACAAATTATTTCAATTCGGACCGTGCTTTGCCTCTATTCGCTATTAGAATACAATACAGTAATACTGTACAGTAAAGTTATTTCGCAAAAGGTTCCGCATAAGCACGAGGAGCATGCACGAAAGTTTTATTTACATTGAGAAGAACGTAGTGAATGACGTGACATAAAAGGATTGCTCGAGGTTGCATGGTCCTCCATGTTCGGCCGACCATGTATCCTATTCTGTTGTGAAACTTTACGGCTAAATGCTTGAATACATGGAATTATTTATACTGTGCGGCGTAAATATAAGCGATAATAACCCAAGGGCACACAATCGCTCCCCGCACCCTCATCATTTGCGCTCCAATAATATCCAGGTTACATAATATTTTCCTGAACGCACTGGTCTGATCCTCGAAGATAATTCATCATGGAATAAACTGCTTGCTGGTGTACCGCCTCCGCCTGGGTTTTACATTGCACAGAATTGAAAACATAATACTGTACAGTATACCCGAACTGCAGTACAGTAGATCGATTTGACGTGTCGCAAGTGAGAGGAGAGGAATTATCAAAAACGGTACTGTACAATTTGGACGGGAGTATTCACGCACCCTAATTTTTCTAAAAGTTAATTTTTCGATTGACATTCTGCAAAATATTTAGGTCCTTCTTTCATTGAGGGATATTTCAATACTGACAAAGTTCCGCTTCCGCCAACTTATTGGCATGCATAGGCATATCGTCCTGCCTTCCCAATAGGGTCCGACTCAATTCCATTGTTGACACGTTACATCCTCACTTCATTCGAGCACTGAACAACATAAATGACTGTAAAGCCTCAACACGGAGCCCAATCTTCACCCTTCGAACCACAAAGAACTGTCAACGGAGGATGACGACAATGATGAATGTCCAGAAAAACGAAGACAAATCGGCGCATAATTTCAACTGCATTTACGCACAGCAAGCGAACGAACGAACAAGAGACGGTCCAGCTGCAGTGTACAGTCGATATATGCATGTCTTCTGTCGTCCGCAAATCCAGCTCCTCTGTCCAGAGTAAACAAATCCTGTTGTTTGTCCAGATAAATGAATGCCTTCATCTCATGTCTGGAATAGCTCCAACTAGCAAGAACAATATCAAACCTAAACAAACAAAAAGAAGAGAGGAAAGAGATGCTGTGCTCTGTGTTTGTCCTGGCTGGCAACAGGCAAGTTGCATGGATGCACCCAGAAGTAAGCTTTCGCTTACACATCCATCCATGCAACCAGGCCACATTACAGCGAGAGTGGATAGTCGAAGTAAAAGACAGAGCAACTAACTACGAAGAACGAACACGCATGACGTAGCATTTCGCGAATGAGAAAGAAAAACCCACCCGAATTATGACACAGACATGGTGACAAGCTCCCTCCCGTAAGAACCAGCGCCTTAAATGTGATGAAAACAAAGCATGAAGTTCGCAGAATCGCAAAAGGTATGACAACGACTGTTGTAACGATTTGGGGTGACGTCATTCATCATGCAAAACCTGAATCATAATGCAATACTCGGAACCAGTTAGAATAAAATCACTTGAATTAGGCGGAAGAGTCCGTCCTGTTGCGCTTCTTAAGGAACAAACCAAGTCTTACGCATAATTACAAGGCAATTCCAGTAAAGTTAAAAGCAGTACTTTGTGTCGAACTTAATGTAGGGATAATATGGAAGAGACTCGCAATGCGATTACAAGCTGCATATAACAAGAAGTTAATTACAATGAAGCAGTTCACATGCAATAGCGGTTTTTTTCATAATCAAAATGTATCTCAATTAAAAAACAGTACTGTATAGTCAACCCAATATCAAGCATCTGTTAATTAAGGTGCACAGCATGTTAAATTTGAAAACTGGAATAACACGACGTACGCGTTAGCAGATAGGCAACAAATGAAAATAAAATCCGGAACACCAAGAATTACAGAAAGCTAAACACGTAATACATAGTATATAATTTATTCAAGTTTCCGTTAGCAATTACGAAATTCACTGAAGAGGGAAGACACCAAAAAATGCAAGGCACAGCCTACTTCTGACACAAATTGGACAGGTACACATTCGGCAATGAGTTGAGCAAGATATGTAGAAATTTAATCATTTTCTTGGCTTCAGCGCCGAGATCTTCAGGAAAGAATTTAGGAAAACATTTGTGAGATCTTTACATACCGGTAGCATGTACAGTAGTAAAGTTTACTTTACATACAGGTAGTTGTCAGTTCCATGCAGAAAGTTAAGAAAAAACCCGGAATAACAAGATTGGACTGGAGGAAAAATTTCAGAATTCCAGTTTGTACACATCCATGATGCTTCAAATTTGCAATTCCTTTTCTTTAACAAGAATACGGCTTTTAAAAAGTCTTCAGTAAAATATTGAACGGCTCTCACTATGAATGTCAAGCAAATGTGACAGGAGAACTCACAGAAGCCGTAATATTTTCTAAAATTTAATAAGAGCTCTGAAATTCACGACTACATTCTTTATTGTACAGTAATCTTTTCTAATCCTGCTATCAGAGTATTTTGGACAATTCTGAGATTACCAAAAAATCACGTGTTTCTTAAAGCTGTAGGGTTAATTTTTCTCAAGTTCGACTCACAACCCCTCTTGAATGCACAGTATCTCTAATGACAAAGCCTTTTAGCTTATGTCATCTAAACAAACCGTTTCGGGTAATAAGAATTTCATGACATTCGAGTTTAAAAAAAACGCCCAACTTTTGGAAGCGAAGATATCGTCTTCAGAGTGCCAGCTGCTGACCTGCAATAGATGCATACTCGTCTCAAGTCCTACTCCCTTGGAATATTATATATTCGAACTCCCGAGTTTCGAGTATCCTGCAATCTTCATGGCACTAGCAACATTACTTTTCAGAAAACTTCCATGTACTACGAGGTACATTCGGAACCAGTTGGAATCGGAAAAACAATGGGTCAACACAAAGCGCTCTTATTTCCAAGCAGCAGTACTTCACAAAAATTCGGGACGTTTGTGGATTCGCAAATATCATCCTGCAGCAAGTCACGTTTCCAAGTTCTCGATATTTTTATTGCACAATTAATGTAGTCCCCCTTATGCTTCAATGACATTATGAATACGGTGTGTTACTTCCTTTCGGTTTAAGGTTATTATGTCACAAGTATGGAACACAGTAAAAAAGGAGGACTTGATGCAGATAACCAGAACTGACCCCTCTGAGCAAACTCGATTCAATTTTCCATAACACAGCCAACTCAATTATCTAATAATCATTAAAGGAGGCGATTATCTTTCCTTTCATCGATTTAACTTACGCAATCCTCAGATGAGAATATTTAGTGTAATGCACTCATTTACCGAGACGTAACAGGATTGATGTACAGTAACATTACAGTAATCAACAGAAACTGATTCAATTGCTCATTCTTCCTTCCTTGTCCTAGACCGGCCACAACTTCATTATTTTTGTTCTTGCAAAGACCACGTTTTTCTACTCGCAGAAGTAGGATAATCAGATCACTCCAAGATTGCAAATCGAAGAAAACATTGTTTTCAACTTTTCTCTTCAGCAACAACCTAAAAATGAAGTTGTTGGAAAAATATTAACGGAACAGAAGTTGAAAGACAATGAATACAGACAGAAACGGATGCTTTTTTCTCGTCCCCTTACAGACCAACCACACAGAAACACGTAGAGTAAAGTCAAAACGTGGGAAATAGACTCTTCGATCAGAACAGGACGAAACACCCTCACATACAAATAGAACCAGTATCTTTCTTATTCCGAAAATTACGTACAAAATGCTCCGCATCATGCGGAGATCAATAACGTAAGACCATAGAGAATTCGAAAATCTCGAATAAATCGAGCACAGCTCTCGTAACAGGTCGTACAAAGTCGGGTAATACTGTATCTTCAGGATTTAATATAGAGTTAGCAGCATGTTCTTCAAGAAGTAGAGACACTTGCATTAGTACTCAAGTTTTTTATCAAGTAGGTGTAGGCTATTAAGGGAGATGGAACGTTGTATTTAAAGGAAAGCCTGTTCAGCTATTGCCAAGTATATCCATGAAATTTTAGCTCAAAAGTCAGGAACCCTTTCATAATAAATGAAATACCAATTTCACGGTTCACTTGAAAACTTCCAACAAAACACGATCTCGATCAAATACTGTACACGGAATCCTCTCCGTAAAATCTCACGTCCAATGAAGTTGTGACACCTTCCGGCTAATATTGATTCTGTTGACAGAATGGGGCATAGCCCACGAGTATTGTTCCGAATTTCAAGACGCCACTCGGCCAATATCCGTCAGACACTCATAAAACAACAGTCGCAGGACATGAATAAGTTCAATCAAAGAAATATCCCGCATCTCAACAAAAAAGCGGAACATTTATTAGATAGTATTTGAGCTTGAGTGTACGCTTGCTTCACTGGAAGCAATCAATACCTCATAAAGAAAGAAGCTTAAGTGTTGTAGGTATTTCATGTCTTATATTATGAGCTACGTGTAGTCTGAA